AAGGAGGTTCTGCCAGCAAAAAAACTCTCCATGGAAAGTTTTAGATAAGCAATGTTCGTCAAAATTTCTTTGTGATGGCGTCGGGCCGGACGTTGATCTGACGTGCGCTGTTGAAACAACTCACGAAGCTGCTTGTTTGAGTGACCGCCGCCTTGCTCGCCGCAGTAATGAGGCCTAAAGGGTGAGAGACAGTCATCCGCTTCAGTCGGTTTTGGTGCGTGGAACTTGGTGAGAATGTACGGGCCGTTGTTGCTTCATCATCCTCATCACGTCTCTGGTTTCGGAAGCTAGCTCTGTGCTGGTCTGTTTCGAGGCTGCACACATGTTGCGAAATTTCCTCTTCAAGCTCGTTGCATCTCGCGTTTTCCATTGCGATGCTTTAGATCGCTTGTACTCTGCAGCGACAGCTTCCCATTCGTTTTTGGTGCTTGGTAGATGTTGTGTAGTGAGAGTCAACAAGAGTTCCATCTCACCGGTGCGGTATGTTTTTGCGCCCTGCTGCTTTGTCATCTGCATCGCATAATGTTACGTTTTCTTCTCGAACAAAATGGTACGCTTCCAGGTCTGTCGTTAACTTACCTGCGTTCCCCTGCTCCACTTTCGAAATGGCGCAAGAAGTGAATTAGAAGGTCTCAATTGTGTACCCATTTAGAAAACGGTACTATTTACCTAATTTTAACTTTAATCCTAGCCTCAAATGGTAAAAACTATAGTAAGACGATTGAACCTGCATCATTAGGCCGAGGTTAATCTTCCTGACCTTCCCAGCTTAGCTGGCTAAATCGAGTCGTGAGCTGGCAAATTGCTCCTCCATACGCCTTAAGGTTGGTGTAGCCGTTGATGCAAACGATTTGCCCCGGGGGAGGAAGAAACTCTGAGTCGATCTCCGCACTCCACACCGTGGCGGTCAGTAACAGCGAATCGACCTCTTGAGAATTGGCTTCGTAGGGCTCACGGAAGACCTATCCGACTTTTCTTAGTAGCTCTTATTTGATTCAGTTGACTTGAAATGCATTAACGTACCTGTAGCATGTCCTCGAGGCTTTCCTGAGCGCTAGCATCAACAAAGTAAAGGCGAGCAAATTTCCACGGCTTATGCGTGTGTTCTGATACCCAGATTAACCGCATTCGAATCCGCACAGGCTTGTGTTTGTCTGCCCCAGTCAGGTGGATCATCAAGTCTACTTGACAACACGAACCAAGTACTGATGTTACGAATCTAAAATTTCTGAATTTTACGTACCGTCCACGGTGTTAATAACTCTGGATTCTTCGGTCCTGGAAACCAGCAACTGCCTCATACGCTCGTACGGGGATAGTGTCGGCCCAGCGACGCCGTTGTTAGAGCTGGGTTTGGGAAGAGTTACCTCTCGCAAAACTGTTGTCGGAGCCACC